AATACCTCCTGGATTCTCGCATTTTCAAACAAATATGAGCTGCATATACGGGTAATTTTTAAGTATTATTTTAACGAATTATGTTTTTTTGCACTGTAATTATTGTTACATATCTCATAGTGGTCCAGGACTGGTGGCTTTTTGAAACTCAACACACACCAGAAACATTTTGAAACGGCTAAAACCTTGCCAAATACTACTGCTGTTGAAAGAAGCGCTAAGCTGGTAGTATCATCAAGGAACGAAACGAACGTCAGGATCGCCTGCGAACTGACCACTGGTCAGTATAGTTCGAGCAAAACAATTGAAATTGTTGCATTCAGCAAGAGAATCGGACTATTAGTAACAGCTGATGAAAATATACATATGTTCACAGAGCCGGCATTATTCTGTTGTATACCTCAGCCAAACAATGCGTAGTTCTGTATTTTGCACCATTGTTGCTATGCCTTAAATTGTGATGCATGCATGCTGCGGTTCTTTAAACTGTGAAATTATCATACGAAAAATATGACAGATTTATCCTTTTTTACTTCCTTACATCTTACATAAACACATACCAACTAAAATTAAAGTTAAAATATGTCTACTTCTCAAACAGGAAGTTTTTCACTTGCACTTGCGATAGTGCTACGATAAAATAACGGCCATATTAGAATAATACATATTAGAATATTTGTACATGAAATACTTGAATTAGTTATAACTTTGTATGGTACGGTTGTCCACTGACAATTTTCCCAATTGTTTTGACCAGTACTACATCGCATGTGAATCACTGTGCTAGCCTTTCTGACGTTCGTTTTGTTTCGCAAAAAGGATTACCAGCATAGCGGATTTCCCCCATGAAAACACTCAGCAAAAATTTCAAGATGTCTTTAATATATTTGAATACTACCTAATCTCTGAACTTTGCCACTCCTGGACTGCGCAGCCTGTCTATTAGGACCAGTATATCAGGATATTTTATAATATAATTGTTCTGCAAAAAAAAAAACGATCATTTGCAGCGGCGATACGCCAATCCATCCATTCGCATTTCGCACACATACGCACGGTATGGGACGAGCTGTGTCAGCATTTTATAAGAATGCAACTGGCTGGACATTAATTGGAAAACGAAATCCACAATGGCCACAGCTATTTGAACCGATTAATGCAAATTTGACGATTTCAAGTGGTGATCTAATGGCTGCCAC